AGAGGAGATTGAAGATTTTTACCAACTTTTACAATCGGAGATTGATCGAACATGCAACCAAGATGCATTGATAATAATGGGTGACTGGAATGCAAAAGTAGGGAACAAAGAGGAAGATTCAGTAGTTGGAAAACATGCAATTTGTGGGTTAATGAGGCTAATTTAGAATTTATTTTTTTTTTTTGTAGGCTCTCTTGGGAAACTAGTAAAATGAGTTCTAAGTATCAAATAGTTCAAATCATTAAAAATTATCTTTTCAAATGTAATATATATTCAGGTGATACACGATAATTAGGATCAGCGCTAATAATATTCATAAACTATTTGACTCACATTCTTTAGGCATTTTGTCAGGAGGGACCAGTACTTGGAGAATGACTTCTGCTTCAAAGGGTACAAGGTCAGTGAAAGAGAGGGAGATCCAGAATGAGATGGATTGATACAGTGACTGTGGCAATGGGGTTAGTTGTGTCAGAGATGGTGAGGTTGGCTTAGGATAGGGCAAAGCTCACAGATACTGTTCACAGGCTCACTGTGAATCATGGTTGACTTGATTGCAAACAACCACAGGCAAAAAAAAAAAAAAAATTGAAAGATTCCTTGTTCTTTCTTTATTCATCACCAAGGTGAGAAACTATCATAGAAGCTCAATGTTTAGTATGCATCACTGAGCATCTCAATAGATATGCTGAGACATAAGCCAATACACACTTCTGAGTAATATATAACAATGAGAAGAAGATTCGTATTTAGTATTAAGTACTTTATGAAACTGAAAGAAGTCACAATGGTTTGTTTTTTTTTTTAAATGTAAACAAATACATTTTCGACAACAGGAAAAAGAAATCTCATAATACAATTTTTAACCAGCAATTTAAAAAAAACACAAAAAAGAAACAAACCACAAAAACATCACAAGACATTGCCAATGAGTCAGAACCAACTCACAGCTGACCTTTCACTGAGTTTCTGAGGTTCTGGTGGCATAATCGACTGGGAGTTGTGTTGCTAAAGCAAAGGCCACACTTGATTCTATCAGCCACTTTAAGTTTCTTAAATTTATTTTTCAAAATATCACATGTACTTATTCATGACATATTTCACAATAGGAAGTATCATATGAAAGCCTGACTATTAACAGCAAAGTAACAAATCATTCTTCATTTGTGGGTATAAGATTAGAACAGGAACAACATGTAAACAAAGAAAAACTGAAAACGTTTCAGCCATGGACTAATGAACTACTACAAATCTACTACCCCAATTCTATATATGCCATCCGAACTATCACTGTGATATAGAACTACAATATTCAGTCTCCTCTGCTATCCTCCTCCAAGGATGTATAAATGCTTGTGTGTGTTGGGGTGGAGGGGCTTGAGTTTGATTCTTTGGATTGCAGACTGCCTCAGAATAGCATTACTTTGTAGAAGTAAAGTACATGGAAATTATATGATTGCTTACAAATAGTCTCCCTACTAAATAAGGGTAGAATGAAACCATCATGAACAAACTTAGAAAAGAAAAAAAAAAAGAGAGGTCTTCTTATTTCTCTCAAATTAGTGATATTTTATTAATACTTAAGACCAATTTATAAATTATTTAGACTAAATGGCTATCTTAGATTTTATGAGAAAGGCAGTGAAATATATAGCAAGAAGCTAGAGTCGCATGGCAGTTCCTAATCATGGCACATGTGTTAAAGAGGTTAATTTTGTAAAATCCTTGCTATTTGCCTGATATAACACTATTTATCAATCATTTTGATATGAGTCGCAAACGACTCGACAGCACATAACAACAACATAACCTTTTAGTTCATGAGACAGAAAAAGTGCCTTCTTTTCATCTCTGTTTACCAAACAATATTATTTATATTAAAAAATACGTTTCTCTACTTTTCCATATTTTTTTGTTTTGAGTTTTCCTCTCCTCCTCAAAAAAGAGCAGATGAAGCATATGAAATGCAGCCTGAAAAGTCAGTCTTCCTAATGTTATCAGTTTGGGGTAAAAGATCAAGAAAAGATCATAGCATAATAAGGTAAAACAAGTTGTCACAGGAGCAAAGACACTACCCAAAACAGAGGACGTGTGAATAAAAAAAAATTCAGAATAGTTTAAAAATCAACTTACCTTACAGTATCTTAAAGCCTCCATCAATGTTAAAAAGCCTACAGATGCTTGTTTATGTATACCAAGAAGTTCTGTTTAAAGAAAAATTATCACTGTATTAGGGCATACAATTTCGAAAAGTACTTATATGCTATATACATTCTACACTAGTCATTTTTACTCAAAATTATATCGTTAAGAGCTCATACAAAAATCATCATTATCACTGGGCTTATTATAAATATCATAAAATCAGATTTGTGGTGGATAAATGAGATAACTTACATTTTCATTATAGCCTACCTCTGGTGACCTAGTGGTAAAGAAGCTGCTTTGAAACCCCAAAGGCACCTGGTTTGAATCCACCAGTTGCTGTTCATGGGAAAGGATGGACAATCTCCTACAGGTCAGATGTGACTTGACAGTACATGACATCAACAACAGATGCACATTTTAAGTATTTATAAAACTTTGTTAAATGTTAACATTTTAAAGAAGGCAAAGTATCTTTGAAATCCAAAAAATTATTAGCAAAAATAAAGGATATTCAATAATACATACAAAATGGCTAACATGAACAGAATCTGATTCAGAAAGCAAATGGATCTATTAATTGTAATTTACAAGGTTAATTGTTGGATAGCAATACATAGATGTGCACAATATCTAACAAATTAACATGCAGCACTATCCCTCTTTCTTATACACTATCACAGACACTGTACTTAAAACTATTATTGCTATGTGCTGTCAAGTCGCTTGAGACTCTTAGCAACCCTATGTATGACAGCCCTAAAACCTGCTCTATCCTGTGCCAATCGCACTGTCTCCGACACACTCATCCCAATTAACCCAGTCACTGAATCAATCCACCTCATAGAGGGCCTTCCTCTCCTGCACCGTCCCTCCACCCTACCAAGCATGATGTCCCTCTCCAAGGACTGGTCCCTCCTTACATCATGACCAACGTATGTCAGACGAAACCTCAGAAACCTTGCCTCCAAAAAGCAGCCTGGTTTAACCCCCTCCAGGATGAATGTGTTTGTTTTCTTAGCAGTCCTTGGTATATTCAATACTCTTCTCCAGCACACAGCTCAAAGGCATCAATTCTCCTTCTATCCTCCCTAGTCATTGTCCAACTCTCTGATGAATAACCAGTGATTGCAAAGACCATGGCCTGTATCAGATGCACCTTAGTCTCCAGAGAGATACCACTCTTCAGCACTTTGGAGAGGACCCTAACCGCAGACTTTCCCATCGTAATATATCTTTTGATTTTCTGGCTCCTGGTGCCAAGAGTGTTGACTGTGGAGCCAAGCAAACTAAAGCTGTGAACAATCTCAATCTATTCACCATCCATCCTGATGCTGCCAATTAGTCCAGTGGTGAGAATCTTGGTCTTCTTGACATTGAGTCTCAATCCATATTGAAGGCTGCAGTCCTTGAACTCTGCAGCAAGCGCTTCAGGTCCTCCTCAGTTTCAGCAATCAGGGTTGTATCATCTGCGTAATGCAGATTATTGATAGATCTTCCACCAATCTTGATGTTACGCTTCTCCTCATAGAGGCCAGCCTCCCGGATAATCTGTTCTGCATACAGGTTGAAAAGGTATGGAGACAGGACACATCTTTGGAACACACCCTTCCAATTTTGAACCACACAGTGTTTCCTTGCTCTGTTCCGAGGACTGCCTCCTGGTCCAAGTATAGGTTTCGCATTAGAATGATCAAGCGTTCTCGAATTCCCATTCTTCTCAGAGTCAGCCACAGTTTGTTATGATCCACACAATCAAATGTCTTTGCATAGTCAATGAAACACAGATAGACATTCCTCTGGTACTCCCTGCTTTCAGCTAAGATCCATCTAACATTAGCTGCAATATCCCTGGTATCACGAGCCCTTCTAAACTCAGCCTGGACTTCTGGCAGTTGTCTGCTGATGTGCTGTTCCAGTCGTTTTTGGATAATCTTCAGTAGAATCTTGCTTGCATGTAAAACCAATGATATTGTTCTATAGTTTCCACACTCTGTTGGGTCACCCTTCTTCGGAATGGGAACAAATATAGATCTCTTCCAGTCAGTTGGCCAAGTGTCTGTTCTCCAGATTTCTTGACACAACTTATTGAGCACATCCAGGGCAGCATCTATTAGCTGAAATATGTCAATTGGTATACCATCTATTCCTGGGGCCTTATTTTTTGCTATTTGCTTCAAAGCAGCTTGAACTTCTTCCTTCATCCCCATAGGCTCTTGCTCATATGTTGTTTCATGAAATTCTTCTGTGTCTGCCAATTCCTTTTGATACAGTGACTCAGTAAATTCTGGATTTCACCGGCTGATATGCATAGGAATCAGATTGATTACATCTGTGGAAAGAACCGCTGGAGAAGCTCAGTATAAGTCGTCAAAACTAGGCCAGGAGCTGATTGTGGAATGGATCACCAACTACTCACATGCAAGTTCAACTTGACTGAAGAAAATTAAACCAAATCCATGGGAACCAAAATATGCCTTTGAGTCTATCCCACCCAAGTTTCAGAGCCATCTCAGGAACAGGTTTGAAGTCTTAAACACTAATGAGCGAAGACCTAATGAATTTTGGGAGGATATCAAGGGTATCATCCAGGAAGAATGCAAAGGGTCATTACAAAGACAGAGGAGGAAGAAAAGACCAAAATGGATGTCAGAAGACATTCTGAATATTGCACTGGAGTGCAGAGAAACCAAAGTAGAAGGAAGAATTCAAGATACTAAAGAACTGGAGGTTCCAAAAGGCAGCGCGTGAAGACAAAGTAAAATATTACAACAAAATGTGCAAGGAGCTAGAGTCAGAAAATCAAAAGGGCCGAACTCGCTCAGCATTTCTTAAGCTTAAGGAACTGAAGAACAAATCCAAACCTCGAGTTGCTATAATCAAGGATACTTTAAGCAGAATATGAAATGATCCAGGAAGTACTTAAAGCTTTGTTGTTGTTATGTGTCGTTGAGTCGCTTGCGACCCATAGCGACCCTATAAAAATGAATGGAAAGCAGTCTCTGTCTTACAAAGGTTAAGAGTTTATCAAGGGATATAGATTAAAAAAAATTAATAGTGTGTTACCTCTCCTCACACATTTCTACAGTGCACATATATACACAAACACAGTAATATGCATCTGCTTAAAATGTTAGGGGAAGTTTACAGAGTGGTAATATTTTAAATGGATCTTAAAACACATTTAAGAGTATTTCAGGCAAAACAGAGAATGAAAAGAAACTTGAAGGCAGTTGTTGTTGTTGTTGTT